TATTATTATTATTATTATTATTATTATTATTATTATTATTATTATAGTAATTAATATTATTTAATAATTAGTAGCTTAGGGAATAAGCTAGGGTATTATTTGATGGCTTTATTTAAATGGATTTTAGACTTTGTTATGGTCAGTTGATTATTGAATGAAAAATGAGATTGTGAGTTTTATCGAGAGAGAGTATCTCGTTTGTTTAACCTTCCCATTCGTACGCTTCCCTACATCAGTTGGTATCAGCAGTCAGTACGATTCGCGATGTCGCCGGGACGAGAAGATGCCGCAGACGAACGACGTGACGCAACCTTCAACGATCGGTTTCAACAGATCGACTACCGATTTGAACAATTGGACGTGCGTTTCACGGATTGGTTTGGCGATCTTTCGACTGGGATCGAGGATGTGCATTTGACGCTTAACAACGTGATTGTTTCGGAATTGCAGACGAACCGCGATGGGGCTGTGGGCCGTAGCTTTCGCGGGGGAGACATAGGCGGTTGTGGGGGACGCAGCCATGTCGGGGCGCCCCGGCAGCGATCCCCGCCACCTCTGAACGGCATCAAGGATAGTGACTTTACCTGGTCGGCTAACCCGTTGGCAGATCGACCACCATGGCGAGGAGACGAAACCACAGGTCAACCCCGAGTTCGCGAGCAACGGCGGGCTGGAGGTAGTTTTGTACATGGAGGCGGATTTTGGGCGTGTGAAAGAGACGACTCCAGTTGCACTTCTGGGCCTCACAAAAGCATTTTTTGGGCTTGTGAGGGTGATGTCGTTTTTGGGCTTGCGCCCAATTCAACTTATTGGGCTCAGGGGAAGGATGGATTTAATCCTTATTTTGGGTCTGAACAGCCACAAACATGCTTTGACTTCGAGTTTATAGATTTCCTGAATTTTGAGCCCGACACGTGCGATATCTACGACGGTCTGCCAATTTTTTATGAAGAGCCTCTGGTGGCGAAGACATATTTTTGCAGTAATATGGGTCCCGCGTGGGACGTCGCAACGGTTGAGTCTTCGAATGGGACCTGATTTTTTGAGTATTTTTGCCAAAGATGGTTTTTCGAAGCCGAAGCCGAGACTCCATAACTGGTGGGCCATTTTTCGATTGTTGTTCCCGAAGTCTCCCAACACCGGGATGCTTGGCCGTAGTTATAGATTTATGCGCGGTGAACGATGTGGTCTGTTTTGTGTTCATTCGGTTGTGCGGGTGTTGTGTACATGTGACTTTGCGGCAGTTGAATCCTTAACCGAGATTATGTTTACCTTTGAGATTGTTAGACGACTTTCAACCTTCGTGTTCGATCGGGGGAAACGTTCGGGCTGTTGCTGTCTTGAGGACGTCTCCAACGGGAACGGGTCGGATTCGAGGGCGAATCCTGCTCAACCGGGGGAGAATGGTGTAGGCTAATTATTATTATTATTATTATTATTATTATTATTATTATTATTATTATAGCAATTAATATTATTTAATAATTAGTAGCTTAGAGAATAAGCTAGGGTATTATTTGATGGCTTTATTTAAATGGATCTTAGGCTTTGTTATGGTCAGTTGATTATTGAATGAAAAATGAGATTGTGAGTTTTATCGAGACAGTATCTCGTTTGTTTATCTTTCCCATTCGTACGCTTCCCTACATCAATACTATACTTTGACACCTGAACATCACTCCTAATTAACTCTCTTTCTCTCTCATCCTTTTCTTCTTGTTGAGTTACTTCTACTTTCAGACATCTCAGTTTATATTGGAGTGTAGTGGAAGTGGTTGTTCGTACCAAGTAGCGTGTACCATGGTTGGAGTACTCTGGTGCTATCTCCGAATTGATTTTGTCCCTCATTTTGAGGGTGTTGAGTAGAGAATTTTTTTTCTTCTCTTTGTAGATTGTGTGTAGATTGTGTGCGTGGGCTTGAATGTGATCTATTGTTGAGCTCCCTTCATGATGTGCGTAAGAAAGTTGATTGGACGGGTCGGCCATGCAGGTATGCAAGCAAACCTCTTCGTAAAGGTATAAGTTTCTTGGCATTTGTTGTTTGAAACCTTCTGTTTGGACAAGGCATCAAAACAGTGAAGAACCAAAACAGGAGAAAAAAAATATAAGAATGAACAATATTAACACACTATTGCAATCTTTGCAAAATCAAATATCTGTACTGCAAAAGGGCAAGAAACAATTATTTGAATGACTTGAGATCTGCACTGCACCCATGGCAGGTAGCCTCATATAGCTCAAATGGAAGANAAAAAAAAAAAAAAAAAAAAAATCCGACAATCTTCGACTAGACCAGTTTTCATATCCTAAATAACTGATTAATCCTAGAAAAGGCCCGTACGCTTTGCGCACCAATCTATGATATTTAGTCCCAAATTATAAGAGAAATCCGAATGATGTCCTCTGTGTTTCCTCTCACATTCAAAAGAATCAAAGGAATATTTTTCCAAGATCACTACTTGAGGCAATGAAGCAACAAAAGAAAAAAGAAAAAAATAATAATAAAATAAAATAGAACAAGAACTAAATACACCTAAGCTTTTCAGTCACTTCATAATAAGTGGGCCAAACTTCATCTGTAGCTGCAAATATGTACACAGGAAAGGGTCTAAAATATATATAATTATACAGGAAGATTATCCAAGTTGTATCCTTCAAAGCCGAAATCGCTTTCACCTGGTGTCATTCCTTCTGGCTGCCATAATCAAGAAAAGGTAAAAGTCTTTATCAGGCGGCTACGTATATTTGGTAATATAACATCTAATCATACTCATTAAAGAGTAAACATCAAAAGACTAATGTAATTTTGAAACACTTGAGGATATAAATGTTATTACACTAAACCTCAAGGGTGTTTTATGTAGTTACAGTAAGAAATAAAGAAACTATTTCAGGTCTTGCATTTTACAACAAGATATCAAGGTAGAATCCTTAAAATCAAAAGGAAGCTTTGGTTTTCAGAAATTAGATTCAATATCAGGGGTAGGGTGGCAAAAGGATAAAAAAAAATATACTTTATTTGATTCGTTATTCGTAATCATTGCAATCAAACGCAAATAACAACTGGCCTGGTTCTTACTTGTTGAATCAAATTCAAATAAGAATAACACATTGTATAAATGTTAAAACAAATATGAATACAGATATGGAAGTATTCGATTCATATTCGTAAAATACCCGGGTCAATTAATAAATAGACATATACATTCTGCTAAGTATATAATTTATATTATTACACAATAATTATATATTCTTTTAGTTTAATAGTATAACATTTATATTTACCGTTTAATTTATTCATAAATAGCTATATAAATAAATATAAAATTATATAAAAATAGATTTTATTTCTAAATATAAAGGAAAAAATTGTTATGAAACTCAAAATCCGAATACAGAATCCAACCAAATACTTTCCGATACTTTATTCGAATTGAACACGAATCAATATAGAAATTCAATTTATAACCGAATACGGATCCAAATATTCAAATAATCTGACGAACGCGTGAATCCAATCAAATATTCGAGTAATGAGTAACGGTTCAATTCGATTCGTATACAACCAAAGCCAGTTTGGGGTACTTACTTGCAATTAACGGTAAGCAAAATTACACACCACTAACCTGCTTGAAAAGTGCACTCATGAGATCCTCCTGGCCAAGCTGATCTGAGAACAAGCTATTCTGGGACGAATTATCAGCTGCTGATGAAGTAATCTGTGGGCCAATATTTGTATTATGGCCACGGCTTGGGCCCTCGGATGCTGAAAAGGCTACCCTATTAACAACAGATTGGACCCTACTCTGTCCGCTTGATGGGCCTGGCTGAACTAAGACTGACGGCCCAACATTGATCCGGGCATGCTGAGGCCCGTCAAAGCCCGAAAAGCCCCACTCATCTGCCCTGGCCCGGCTCTGATTTAAATTTCCAAACGCATTGAAACTCGGAGTGCCAGAAATTCCCGCATTGCCAACAAGCAAAAAGCTATTGCTGTTATTGTTATTAGCAGCAGTATTATTATTATTATTAGGATTGACCGTTAAATCTGGGCGTAAGCTTCTTGAAAAGTCAACCAAATTAGACGGCTGATGTGGTTGACCATGGACATTATTGACTCCATTGAAAATGGGCCGGTTAAGCATCTGGGTCCTGGGCTGAGGGTGTGTTGGTAAATTCACGTGCGTAAAGGCTGCCAGCTGTCTTGAGTCCATATTGGTGGGGACCCCGTGAAGTAAATTCGAGGGTCGGGTTTGAGTTTGGTTTATTTTCGGTTTTTCGAAGCTGAAAATGTTTCTTTGGTCGACTGATAAGGGGAACCTGTTAGTGGAGGCTGCCTGGATTGTGGCCAGGCTCTGTGGTGGGAATTCAAAGCTGCTGAGAGGAGTTATCGGGCCGAAAGATGGGTCTGTGGGGCCCATGAATGGATTTCCCAGCCCGTTATGATGCTGTCCACTCAGCCTTTTGAGGTAAAGACGATACTTCTGAACCAGTTAAATATCAAAGTTGAGAAGAAAATGGGATATGTCAGAAAACATAAATGGATCTATAATTCAAAAAAATAAAAAATAAAAAAAATATAAAGAAAAACATTTTCGTCTAACCTGTAGGTGACTTGCCACATTCTCTCTTGTAAGGCCCGGAATGCTCATCAATTCGAGGATTTTCTTGGGGACAGCCTCTGCATTCAACAAATAAATTATTCCCATATAAATACATTGACGAGAAGACACAATGTTCCAAATATGATCGTATGAACAAAACAGTGAGCTCTAATTATAATACAAAACGACACAAGGCATATTTCTATAAAAACCTCCAAAAATCTACTCTATAAATGCATAGTATCTCTATGTATGAGTAAACTGAATAAAGTCTGTCACCCTCCATCAAATACGAAAACTAAAAAGGAAATGGGAAAAAGAGAAAACGTACTGTCTATCCCAAGCTGATTGACGGCCGTTACAAATTGCTGGTGTAGCTCGACCGACCAAACGACCCTTGGCTTCTTGAGAGTTGACGTGTCGTCCCTCTCGTCACCTTCATCATCATCGTCCTTCCTTTTCTTGGAGCTTTTCCAATTATTCCCCTCATTGGCCGAAGACGAGTAATCCAAGTCTTCCGGTTTTGGCTGTCTTTCGCTTTCCTCCACACTTCCCGATTGTTCTTGTTCCTTTTCTTTCCATTCGTACTTCTTTTTACGGATCACGTGCTGCCATATGTTTTTCAGAGCTTCCATGCGGACCGGTTTTATGAGATAGTCACATGCGCCGTGAGTCACTCCTTTCATTACCACATTTTTGCTATCATCCGCTGACATCACTAAGCAAAACAAAAGCAAAGGGATTGGAATTTTTTTTCATATACTGTATATAAGATAAAAAAAATAAAAAAAATAAAAAGAAAATAGGAAGCTAGAACGTCTTATCCTTCAAGGTTTTCCCTTATTTCTAGAGAAACACATTTATGTTTCAGAATTTACAATTACATACACAGATTGCAAGGCAGAGTCATTTTTCAAACATGGCAGGCATATTAATTAAGATAGTTAGAGTGTCCTTTTTCAGGCTAAAAAACAGGGATAGTTTTTGTATATAAGGAAAGTGTCGTAAAAACAAAATCTTGATAATAATCAGAATTAAAGAAATTAGCACTTACTGATGACGGGCAAGTCCATTTCCAATCCAACATGCTCGAGAAGTTTGAAACCATCCATATCCGGCATGTGTACATCACTTATAACAATGTCGAACCCAACTTTGTTTTCCCTAAGCAACTCCAACGCAATCTCAGCTCGACCGCATTTGGTTACTGAAAAATAAAGAGAATTCCAAAAAACCAAAGACACCACTAAATTTGATCTGAAAGTGGCCAAGATTTTAGAATAAACTTTAAAAGCTTAAGAAGCTTAATCTTGGGAATCGGGTCAAATCACCCAATTCAGTTGAAAACCTAAATTCTCACCCTAAAGCCCTAGTCTAGACTCTAGAAAAAACTGTAACACACAACCACACACAAGATATCTTGAGATAAGATCTGTTGGCTATCCACATCTATTCGAAAAACAATCCAACAAAAGAGCATACAAAGTCAAACATACTAAACAGCAAAACGACCACAAGCATAGAAAATAATAATGAAAGGAAACAAATTGCTCAGAGGATTAAACTCTAGAACAGTAGGTCAGTATTTGAGTTACTTTTATTGATTAAATTACCTTCATATAGACAATTTTTAAGCATCTTCTCCAAGATCCTCAGACAAGTTGGGTCATCATCCACGACAAGAACCCTCAGACCCGCAGGAAATTGGTCTGAAACTCCATCGACGGACTTCCAAGAAACACTTGATGTACTAAAAGACATATGATTCGCTCCAAGATTCATCTTTCTCGCCCAAGAAAAAAAAATAAAATCACGAACTGAGTCTACAGATAAGGCAATTAAGATAAACCCAGAAAAGAAGTATGTCGAAATTTCACATGTTATTCAGTACGCAATCAATGAAAATCCAACAGATTCACGCTCACAATACAGAGAATGAAAAGGGGTTGTGAATTCAAAGATTGTATTTAGTTTTTGTATTTATCGGGGGGTTTTGAAGAGGAATTGAAAACATGGAACAAAAAGAAAGAGCACAAAAGTTGCTTCATTTTATATGTGCGTGTGTGCGTGATTGAAGACATTGAAGGAGCAGTTTTCCCTTTTTTCTTTTCTTTTATTATTTATTTATTTGTGTTTTTATTTAATTATTATTGTTGTGGTTTTCTTGATTTACTATTTGTTTTATTTATTTATATTCACCATAGTTTTTAAATCCGGCCCGATAATCGATCTGGGCAGGTCCTCGGGTCATCGGGTCAATTGCTGAACCGGATAATTAATTTTAAAATTTTTAAAATTATATATAGAGTATTTTTGTCATATAAATATACATAAAAGTAACAAAATTAAATGTTTTGTGTATAAAATTTGTACATTAAAGTGTTAATAATATATATCTCATGATAAATATTTACCATATAAACATATATACATAGTTATATTTTTAAAAAACAAAAAAAAATAAAAAAAAAATAAAAAAAATGTATATGGACCGGGTCAACCGGGTTGACCAGGCCGAGTCAATGTCCCGGGTCGGTCGGATCAAGGCCGGGTCAAGGCCGGGTTTTGACCGGGTCTTTTGTCGCCCGGTCTAAATACCCCACCCGGACCGGTTCCCGCTCCGGGTCGACCGGGTCCCGGGTTGACCCGTTGGGCCGGTCCGGGTCACAAAACAGTGATATTCACTCTGTTTTCTCATTTTATAGTGGGTCACTTTGTTGAGTGTGGGTACAGCTCATCTATAAGCTAAACTAGCCCCATGCCAGCCCAAGCCCAACATAACTTTTGTTTTAAATTTTTATTTTTTCTTCTTTGGGTAAATAACATTTCTAGGGTTTTGAAAGTGGGTTCTCCTGTGTATGGAAATTTGTAAGGATATCTATCTCTATAATAAACCCGCACTTTTTTATTTATTCTCACCATGTCACATCACTTCAACCTTTATTCTCTTCTTTTTTTTTTGTTGAAATAATTAGTTATATCCAAAGCAGGTATTTACAGATTTCAGAGGTCAACCAACCCAAGGCCGACAAAGCACACAATGGGTACACAAACCCAACCAACTCCTAAAAAAGGAAGAGAAAGAAATGGCATAATAACCTAGCACCTGGCTATGATAAAAGACAAAGGACCCGGGGGTTTGGATCATACTCCCCACCAGAGAGAACCACAAGGGCATGCTCTGGTTGCAAAAAACGTTAACCAGGCCCTAACTAGTCTTCAAAACACTAATAGCAACACAAAAAGACCAAATAAAAACAACAACCAAACATTAACAAAGATGAACACTAGAGTACTCAGTCCAATCAGCCACAGCAAGAGAGACAATAGCAGCCTCAGTCCTCCAAATCTTTGAGAATACCCATAGATTATGGGTCTTCCAGAGCCACCATAAGATGTATGAAGTGAGTTGTAATCGTGCTTCTGAGGTAGGAGAGTGGTTGAGTGAGCACACCTCTAGCCACCAATGTTTGAAGCTGTAAGTTGCATTGTGAATTCCTTCCCAAGAAACAGGAGATAACTTCCAAATAAGTTGGGCTCGCTTACAATGAAAGAACATGTGGTCTTGTGTCTCAGGTTCCTCGCCACAGACTTTACAAATGAGATCAACTAAAAGTCCTTTTTTGAGTAAGTTACAGTTCGCTGGTAGGATGTTGTTCATTCTTTTTTAAAGAAAGTGCCTGATATTCCTTTTTATCTTCAGTCCCCATCTTATCAGTCTTCTTTTTTTAGCAGTTGGTGATCTCTGCGTATTTCTGGAGAGTCCATCTTCAACCATTTTTCCTGAATCAGTTTCTTATAGAAGGAGGCCACATTGAAGATTCCTTTTGAGTCCCAGTCCCAAGTTAGTCTGTCCTTCCTCATGGGGTCCAATCCTTCTATCTTTAAGATGGCTTTAGCCTCTAAGTCTGAAAAGAAATTTTCTATTAAACTTTTGTTCCATCTTCTTCCATGTTTTTCAAAAAGTTCATACACCCAAGTCAGCTCCCTTGCTCTTGAGTTGTTTCTGATTGGCCTGTTTTTAGGTAGTATAGGGACCTAGGGGTGGTCTCGTATTCTCACTGATTTGCCATCTCTAATATTGAACAGCAGCCCACTCTAGAATGAGTCCTTTGCTTTAGCCAGCTGCCCCAAAGTCATGAGTTGCTGCTTATTATTTGAGCTGTGAAAAGGTCACCCATGGGGAAGTACCTAGATTTTAGTGTCCTGCTCACCAAAAGATTAGGGCTGGTCACTAGCCTCCATAGCTACTTAGAGATCAGTGCTTTGTTGAAGTAGTGAAGATCATGAAATTTAAGACCACCCATTGCTTTTGGCAGGGTTAGAAGTTGCCAAGATTTCAAGTGAAGACCTTTTGCGTTGCTATCATTTTTGCTCCACCAAAAGTTTGCATATGCTGGGAAGAGCTTTCTGATTATCTTTTGGGGCAGCATAAAGCAGGCATGGAAAAAGTAGGGAAAGCTCCCAAGAAAACTTTCAAAAAGAGTTCCTTACCTGCATTTGAAAGGTATCTATTATTCTAGTTTGAAATTCTTTTCTTAACAGTTTCTTCAATAAAATAGAAGGTAGCCACTTTTTATTTTTCAATTTCAAGGGGAAAGCCAAGTAGTTAGAGGAGATATGAGGTTTAATGCCTAACAAGGTTGACAGATTGCATTTTGAGTGTCTTGGGAGTGTTTTTACTGAAGAAAATTGAAGATATATCCAAGTTAACCTTTTGACGAATCATTTGCTGATATTTTGAAGCATGCAAAGCAAAGTGCAAGCCAGATCAACATCAGCAAAAAATAAGTGGGTAAAAATTGGGCTGGTTCTGCTGATTTTTATACCTTTAAGGTTTCATTTTAATAAATCGAATGAGACCTCGTAAGTTCGTGTGAGTGCTATGTGAAATTGGAACATAAAGGACCCTTGGCCATATGGTGAAGGCCTCGGGCATTTTTGGTTTGTGTCGAGTCAATTATGAAGTGTCGAACTCGTATAATTGTTGAATTCGTATTAAATTCATGATAAATTGCACACTGATCCGTTTGATGTGAAACTTTGTGTGTAGGTTCATGTGATGAATATGTAGCTCGTGTAAAAAATTTATAATTTTTCATGGCCTGTAGTTATTTTAATTAATTAATGTGATTTCTGAGCAGAATCGTGTTTATTGCATATTAAATTGTGTAGTGCTCCAAATGGGTTTAAATTTGAGTATGTTGTGTCAATGACATATTCACATGTCGTGTAAAAGTTTTAGAATTTTAGGACTCAGTTTGCTGAGGTAAATAATTTATTGTGTGATTCTACCGAATTTTGTTTTTAATTATGATAATCTGATCTGTTGCTGAAACATTATGATTTTTGGTTGAAGTGCTTATTTTGTAATTTTTTTCAGTCTGCAAAATTATCAGAATTTTCGAAGTTCATGTTGGTTCAGTTTTGATGAAAATTCGAAAGCTGCAGATTCTTTTTAGAATTTTTGAAATTCGCATGTTAAATGTTTAAGTCTGGAATTTTTATATGTTGATATGCATATGCTGAGGTTTGTTGTGTAAAAATTGCAAAGGTTAAATCGTTCATTATGTCGGGTTTTAAACGTGTGCTCGTTTTTGCAGAAAACTTGTTCGAATTTTATAAAATCATGTGCTTTGAGTTAAGGGATGAAATTTGGTGGTTTTATTAAGTCCAGTGAGATGGATTTTTGGTTCAAATTTCAGAGCCTAACTCATTCGGTAACCTGACCAACCTGATTAGATGATTTACCGGCTATTATTTCGAAAATGTAGTTTTTGAGTTAAGAACTGTAAACCGGCTCGCATGCTATTCTTGTTTATTTGACTTGGTTAATCTTTGATTGAGATTATGTGAACTCCCATGTGTGTTTGGTTGAGTCTTAGAACTGAGTCTAAGTGTTCCAATGTCCACTGGACTTCACGAACAACTTAGTCAAATCAAGTTCGGCTAAGTATGATTTGTGTTTTCCATTAAGTAAAGATAGATATTGATTATAGAATTTTGACTTAATGTAGGTGTTTGAGGAGTCAAGCCTCGACCTACTTCCATTGCTTGTTGAGTTAATTCAGTCTGAAAATCCAGGTGGGTTAGTTATTCTAAAATACCTGTGCATATGTGTTTATTTTGTTTGGATGTGTTAAACCGGTATGATCTATGTATGTATGTGAGCATGTAGCCTACCGATAGCCATCGGTACAGTTGTCCCCGTAGATACGGTTACCCTTACGGGGTAAATCTCCTTAAGACTTCCAGATAAGGCTGTGTCCTTACGTGGCACGCACTCACGTGTCATAGATATGGCACGACTGAGCGTAGATGTGCACATTAGTGAGCCATAGCTATGGAAAGAGTCATAGATATGACTAGAGATGGGGACATGATTTATTATTGTTTATGTTCATACTGCGACCATACCATCTTAACATATTCTGAGTTGTTCATATGCATAATGTGAGTACAATATTTTCCAACTGTACTCACTCCCACCTGCTCTTCACGGATGCAGGTTAAGAAGTTGGCGGTTGACGAGGTAGGACGAGTGGTGGTCTGGTTTAGTTATTTATGATTATCGTTGCTTCGGCTTTTTATGAACTTATGTTGACTTGGTTTTTTCTTTCCTGTTTGATTTGGGATATTGTCGACTACGTCATTTGAAAAATTGGATAATGTTTGCTCTCATGGTTTTGTAATTTATTAAATGCTAGTAAGATTTTATAACTATTTATCATGCATGTTCCGAATTTAATAGATGTGCTTGTATTTTCGAGTGATAGTTCTTGGTAGTTAAGTAGCGCCCACTGAGTTTTAAATTAAATTTGAGATTTACGAAAAATTAACTCTGATTTTATTAAATAAATTCAATAAATCTTTCAAAATAAAGTGGGGCGTTACAGTTTGGTATCAGAGCCAGTCTGCATTTCTGTAGACTGGTTTATATGTGAATATGTGATTAGACCTTGTGTTACGACCACTCGTCTTTGTCATGCCGCGGTGCTTAAGGTATGTTTTATATAAGTATTAATGAAAATACTTATAAGGTGAACTGTATGTTTTTACATAAGTAGCAA